CAAGCTAGGCTCAGCCAACCATCCTCAATAGGCCAATTAATGAGACAAATAGTTCTAAAAGGCCAGAGGGGGAAAAAAGAAGATTTATTTGATATAGCCAATTGGAGAAAAATACAAAGAGGTCCAGTCATCTCCAAGTCTATTTTTTAAGCTCTGAGCATGAGATTTGGGTTTAAACAGAAGACAAGAAGTATACGTAACTAAGAAATCTAGTCAAGGTGTGGTCCCACCAATCACCAGTCTCGCATCCAGACTCTCCTGAAAGATGGTCTGACAAATTGTCAGATAAATGTGAAATCTCCTTCCAAGGCAAGGTCCCACTCTGACTGGCACTTTTTATCATTCTACCAGCATAACACTCTTGGGAAAATTCCAATTTCTTGGGGCCCATTGTTTCAATAGTTTGATAGCCAAAGGGAAGGGCACAAACATCTCTTTAGAGCATTTTTACTCTGGTGAGGACAGTTATATCAGCATAGATCATAAGGGAGAAATTGAGAAGAAATCAGAAATGAGAATCCTAAAATGCTTTCCATGGATAGTCAGTTAGGGTCCCCAAATGTCATGCAAATGGATGCAAAAACAAAATATCTATGCAATATCAAAATGCTAATGTAAGAATAGGCACTCTTTGGTGGTGGGATAAAATTATATAGTCATAGTTCTCAGTAAATGTTTATATCAAATAATCTTCAGAGCTTTAGGGGGGAGCAAAATGTAATTGGGAGAATTCTATAGAATTAAACCCTCTTAAAATTAAGTATTTATTATTGTCTTTAATATTATAGGCACACTATTTAAATGTATTTTCATCATAGAATATTAAATGTATACAGTACTTATATAAATTCTGTGGGGCCTATAGGGTATATAAATCTAAATTTTTTTATTAATGATCCTCAATACATACATAAGAATTTCTCAAAATTTTTATTGGGCAGCAATTTTTTTCCAACAGAGCATAATAATCATAATAATTGTGTCAATGATAATCTGCCTTAAATGGGATTTTTTTTCTGAATCTTTTGTGGATTTTTAAGTATAGTTAGCAAAATGAAACTCCATACAAACAGAACTTGCCCTGCTGCCGCACTGGCTGCTTTTCCACCCAGTGCCTCATTGACAGTCTTTGTCTTGCACATGGGATCTTAGTCATATATGTTGATTTTCTTCTGCATCCCATTCAGTTTTACACTAGTTTCCCACATAAGTCTGTTAGTGATATAATATTAATTGCCCAGAAATGTCCATCTGCAATCACTCCAGCATCATCCCTTTAATGAATCCAGACTTCATTGCTTGTATTCCCATTACTTTAGCTACTTCTATTTCTATTTTTATAGCAAAGATCTGTGCAAATAAAAGAATATCAAAAGGTATGCCTATAAATGTGCTGTGCTAAATTCCCTCTGTGTTGAAACGCCTGTGAACTGCTGTTCCAAAATGCCTGCTGCATTTTAATGCCTTTCTCCCAAGGCAACATGATATAGAAGAAACAACTAGAGTTTTACAGGCACACAAAGCCTAGCCCACCACTCTTCACTTATGTTTCTCTACTTCTCTAAGCCTCAGTGTTTGAGTCAGGGGAATGCCAACAACATCATGCTCACAGACCTGAGTGAAACTGGATAACAAACACAGATCCTGTGCCCTGGGAAATCACAGATGCTCCATAAAACCAGTTTTCTTTCTCCAGCCCCCAGCAGCAAGGACAGAGGACTGTAGTATGCTTAGACTGATACTTATTTCTAAGAAGTACTCCTATTCAGGAGATTATGAGCAAGAATAAGTTTAGATTCAAAAAAAATATGTAGTGCCTTAGTGTGAAGGTTTTCACATATGATGATCATTTCTTTAAGTAACTGAAAAGAAAATAAAATCCATTACAACATTAAGCCCTGTCTAGCTTGGTAGTGCTATAAGAAGGGCCTGTTTAAAGATACATCTGCCTTTAAAGGCATAGGCTATGTAATTGACAAAAATCCTAAATAACACAAATGTCTTTATATATTGCTTGAGTTCACTCAGCATTCTAAGATCATTACTTACTGGTCACCTACATAATATAGAGCTGGTTTTATAAGAACAGCCAGACTCACCTGGGTGTGGTCATGCAGAATTATAATCCTTGTCCTAGTTCTGAAACAAACAAGCAAGCAAGCAAACACACAGAGGATGCAGACTCTACATTGTCAAGACAATGAATTCAGAAAGCCTAACCTTCCAAGAAGCGATGCAGATAGATGTGAATCGTCTAATCCTTTAAGAGGTTTGAATTACATAAGAACTTTATATCACTACAGAGTATGTCAGCTAGGTTTCCCAGAACTCATGCTACTATATTCCATAAAAGCAAGAAGATAGACTGATTGGCACCTAGGACCTTCAGGAATCAAGTCCAGTGTCCTAGCTTTAAAGTCCATGATGTTTGGTGTCTACTAGAGGCCCAGGTCTCTAAGATATAAACGAGATAGAAGAAAAGAGCTCTATCGCAAGTAGCAAGCTTCAGTCAACAGGAATGTTTGGAATCAGATTCACCTTCTCTGTCATTTATTAGCTGTGAGTTTCTTCTTCATTTCAATGAGAAGAATAACAAAACTTGTCTTTCAGTATTCTTTCCAGACTTTGAGGTATTTTCCAAAGAATTATAAAGTCCATTTAAGTGTTCATACCTATAGTTGGTTAGTAGTTTTCTAAAGTTCTGGCTTGAAAAGGATTTTGAGATTATCTATGGTCCTTCAATTGATTAGTAATGTGCCTTCTGACAGATAATATAAGTAAAAGTTGATATCAATATATTTATGGCATGAATTATAATGGTTGATACCATTGCTACAAAATGTGCATAAATCTAGCATGAAAAAGGTGCTAAATTTGCACAACTCCAACAGAAAATAGAATCAATTGATTGCTATGCTTATAACACTATAATATGTAACATTTTATTAATTTAGTGATAAACGTGTATTATCTACTGAGAGGAGGAGAGGAGCATATGTGATTCCTAACGTTAACATATAAAACACTTGGAAAAAACACACTGTTGTAGCTAAAGGCAGGAAGAGGTTTAGGGGTGGGAAAAGAAGATGTATTGAAAGGTAGTCCCAGGTTGTGATAAAAGACTTGTGTCTTATTACAAATAGCATTGTCTTAGAATATTCACACTTGGGAGAAGACTCGGCATGTTTTGCATGGAGACCAAACCAAGCCTCTCCTGTTGTTTTACTGGGGCCAGATTTCTTTCCCAGGTAAATAGTCACGCTCCTGTCAGCCATCAGGGACTGTTTTGAATCCTGAACAACTGCTTTGATATTCTTGCCCTACTGTCTTATTTGAGAATGGCAATCTGATCAAACCCATATTTTTAGAATTCATATATTTATAGGCATATGGAAGAATAGTTTATAGTCTGCATATGATTTTTTCCCACCACAAATAGAAGAATATTGTGGCTTTTGGTCCATTTTTTAAAACAGCACCTTTCCAGTCCTTTCCTTTTTCTGTTTTCCTTTCTTACTGATGACTTCATTCCACTTGAATTCAATGCTTCGGTTTCTTTGGGGTAAACTAATAGATTATGTATGCGGTGTTTGCACCGCGTTGATTGAACTCATCTGGTGAGCTTGAATGCTGCTTTTGCATCCCCATAACCAGCAGAAGCCTATGCATGAGATCCAGCCACTGCAGTCATCTTGTGTTACTGAGGAGCCCAGCAGCTCTCAGAGTTGACATGCTCTCGCCACATGTGCTCCAGGAAAGCTGCAAAAGCCCTCATCGTCTTTGAGGGTTATCTTTTTTAATTAAAAACTGAGAGAATTGAGAATTTTCAGAATTTTTACATACATCCTGAAGGAAAATAAAGGTTTGTGTTCTACTGCCCCACCCTCCTGCCCAAGCATTTGTCTTATTCTTTTTTTAAGATTTACTCTTATTATTTTTCAATTATCTGTGTGCATGTTTATCTGTGTGGAGTACGTGCTTGTGAGTGAAGGTGCCCCAAGAGGCCAGAGGTGACGGACTCCCTGGAGTTAGAGTTATAGGTAGCTGTGAACCTCCTGACATGGGTGCTGGGAATCAAACCCAGACCCTCCTAACCGCTGAGCCATCTCTCTGACAGGCTTTCTGTCAGGGTTTGCCTTTTTTTTAAATCAAAAGTATTAATAGTTGATTAGTTGCCATCTCTGGTATGCTCATGAAGCCCAGTGGCCAGTGCATACTTGCTAGCAATAGATCACAGAGCCAGCGTGTGCTCACACTCTCCCACCTTGCCACCAAGTAGAAGACTGTGTCTTGCAAACTTGCTTATTTGCTGCTTTCTTTTTATAACTTTTCAGCTTAATCTTCAAATAAGTCTTTAACTTGTAGGACTATCTCTCACCTTTCCTTACCTATGATTTATCTTTACTCATATATTAACCTATAACCTGCCAACCCTAACACACACACACACACACGCACACACAGACACACACACATACACACATACACACACAGACACACACAGACACACACACATACACACACACACACAAAGACACACACACACACACAAGTTCTTGAGTTTCTCTGAAAGGAATACTGGTGCATGTCAGCCAATGGTCTGTCACATTCAACCTTCAGATCAAACAACTGGGATTTGATCTCAAATAAGCAAGAGCGTTTGAAGGAATGAAATGCCCATGGTAAAATTTAACCAAGCACTGTATTATAAGGAGAAAGTGGAGAGCATTTTAATTACTCTAAGAGGTCAGGACATTATCTCACCTTCTCATCCCCAAAGCATTTATTAATCCCAAATCAGACACTATGACCCTTGGAATTAAATGTGTGTGTGTAATGTCCTTTCTTTGCTCATTTTATTACTGATTTCACCATTTTCCTGGTTTAATTACATTGTCAAATCTTTCAAATTTGGATGTCAGGCCCTTTAATAGGGAGAGTAAAAAGGGCTCTCCGAGGCTGACATACACTCTGTGACCATGTCTATTCCTGTGCTACAGTGGCCGACCCATGGCTGGAACTACTGACCGCATCCAGAAGCTTCGGAAGGAGTATTACCAGGCTCGGAGAGAAGGGTTCCTTTTGTATGAAGATGAAGACGGAAGAGCACGACCGTCTGACCATGACCTTCGCTGGGTAAGCCCATATCTGACTCCAATCATAAATTCCTCTCTCACAAAATAATTTGGAGCAGAAGTACACAGTTAGGTCAAGAAAGTTCTGTGCATATTTGGTTACACTCAGGTTTCTTGAGTTTTATAGATATGAACACTACCCAGACCACAGCCATCTTCTCCCACAGAAGTTGTTTATATAAATCAAACCACACAGCTGCACTTGCTCATTCTCTCTGCTCTTGCACTTACTTCCTGTTGGGTACCTCACTGATCTGGGCCAACCAGATGTCAGCTACTTTAAAGAAGAAGAAGAATATTTTTGCACCTTAATTTATCCTCTCCTTCTCGTAGACCTTAAATATTAGGCCCAGCGTTAATAGACTTTGCAATGTAAGATGTCTCTTCTTTAGAAAATGGTAAATAGAAATATATTTCAGAGGATTATTGTCAAAGATATCAGTTGTTTGTATATGAGATCTGAGCAATTCATGTTCCCCAAATCTTACCAGGATAATAGAATGGCGTGCCTTGAGAAAAGGGAAGTTTTTGTTTGAGGATTCACTCTGCTAATTCATTCAGCATTAAAGGAACAGAAAAGAAGAATGTCAGCAGTAGAGGGATACTCTGATTCCTCTGGGTATCACAATTTTCCCCTGCCTTGTAAGTCTACCTATAAAATATACTTGACTCACAAGCACCCACAAAATGGCCCAGGACAGAGCTTAGTGTCGGGTGATAAGAAAATGTCAGCTACAGTGCCTGACTTACACCTTGTAGTCAATACATAGTACTAAGTATTGGCTCTTGGCACTGTTAATTGGAACAGAGCTGAGTGTGGTCACTGTAACATCCTGACTGTAACACATCATATGTGTCCTTTTGGATGATTGGTGCCTCCTAGCCTGCTGTCTCCGTGGAAAGACAAGCATATTATAGGAGTGTCTCTTGCTCTTATTTCACACATTTTTGCTCACAAGATCAAGGAGTGGTGAATGGACCTAATTCCCTTAATTTTCACATCACACTTACGAGGTCATGAATGACATGTGGACCAAACGTAGTTTTAGCATCTCCACTGTTGTGCAGAACAGTGGCAACTCCTCAGGCCCCTGTCGTAGAATGGAGTTTTAAAACACCAGTAGAGCCAGGGAAGGTACACATATGTGTAATCTCAATACTGAGGAGACAAAGTAGGAGGATCACAAGTTCAAGGCCAAGCTCATCTACATGCTAAGATTTAAACCAGCCTGAGGTGCATGAGATCCAGTCTCAAAAACAAAACTAAACAAAGCAAAACAAAAAACAAAACCCCAAACCAACAAAATGTATAAGTACATATTAGCAGAAGTAGATTGTGCATATTGGTGATCCAAGCTTGTTTGGAGAAAGGCATGCCAAGACTGTGCAACCAAACCAGTAACTATTCCTGTTTTTTACAGGTATTAGAATTAAATAGAATGATATTTTCAGTTGTGGGACAATGTCTCTTAGATTCTCAATAGTACAATCAATAGTAGAAAAGAACAATTTCTAGGGAGTAACAAATGCAATAATCATTCCCCCTGTCTCAAACTCGGTCCTGATTGATTTACGGCCTTAAACAAGAGATGTGCGGTACTCGCTAGGCACAGCTCAAGCTCCCTTAACAAAAACCCGTGATAAAGCAACTGCCTCAATCCTGAGAACAGAACACCATGGCTAACGCTCTGAAAAGTGTATCAATTCCTATGAGCACAATAAGAAAGTAATTTCTGAATGACTATCACTTGTTATTGTGACCTTATTTAAAGATTTCTTTACTTCAAGCTGAAAGAATGAAGGTGCTAAACCCCATGAAGCTCCCCAAACCTGATTTGGGGGGTGGCCCTTTGGGAACACCCTTTTCTAATGGTTCTCTTTACACTAAACAAACTTGTAACCAAACAATTTAGTGATTGAAGAAGTATCTATTTTAATTTGTGTTTCCCATGCTCTGGTGTATTGAGCTTTGCCAAATGTGACTGATTTTATGTTTCCCAGACAATTTGAGTCTAAGGCATCCCAGAGGGATGCTGGGAACTGCAGTGTCATAAAAGACAAGTGCTCTCTGTGATCGCCTGAGATACTCCAAACTGGGGATTAGAATCTCAGCATCCTTTCCACTCCTTTCTCTATGCCAAAGAAAAACACTGGTACCTTTTGTCTAGGGGAGGCCTGAGAAATTATACCTTTGTTTGCTCCATTTGGAGAGATCTAGGAGAGCAAGCTTAGGGAGTTAACATTTCATTTCTGCCTCTCAGCCAGACCCAACAAAGCATCTTTCATGAGCCTGTAGTGTCTAGCTAGATTATGCTGGTCCTCAGGATCACAGGAGTTCTTGTTAAAGTCAGATCAAGGAACTGGGAGGCAGAGCCACCCCTGATAGCTTATAATTCTCCAGGGAGTCAACAAGCATTTTGAGATTCAGACTTGATCATGGAAATCATGCGTGGGTTCCTTCCACTTCCAGGAATGTCTAAGAAGACCACGTTTACTTACAAAACCATCATCATCATGATCATCAGAAATATTTCACAGACTTAGAGCTGCCCCAATATAGTACCACATTTATGTCAAGAGGCCTAAAGAGTGTCCCCCCAAATCATCCTATTCCAGAGAACTTCTGAGCTGCCAAGAAAAAATTAAGAAGATAAATTACTCTACAACTATCATCCTCCCTTGCTGTCCTTGGGACCACTCTGCAAATAACAAACCTGCAGATGTTCAAGTCCCTTATTGTAAATGCTGCAGATTTGTATAGAACCTGCAGGCTTTCTCCTACATCCTTTGGAGAATTTCCAGACTATTGATAGTACCTAATGTAATGTCAATGTTATGTAGATAGTTTCTAATCTTATAATTTGGAGAATAAAGATAAGAAATTATATATGTGTGTGTGTGTGTGTGTGTGTGTGTGTGCTCAGTAATATGCATTGTGTGTATACTTATCCATCTATGTTTGTGGGTACACAAGTGTATAGCCACATATACACATGTATGTGCATATCTATATGGAGTCCAGGCATGAATCTCCAGACTCTTTCCACCTTTATTTTGTTTTGGGAGGGTAGAGGTCTCCCACTGATCTTGGATCACTTAAACTAGGATGGCTGAATAATAAACCCTAAGGATTTCAACAGTTTCCACCACCCCAACACTGTGACTTTAAGCATTTCCACAATGCCTGGCTCTTTTGTTAATGAAGGTTCTAGAAATAGAACCTAGGTTCTCATGCTAGCAAGGCAAGTATTTTACTAACAGTTATCTCCATAGCTATCCAGATGCATTAACATGCTTCCCCAGTGGTTCCTTGACTCTATCAATACAGATACTGTCCAGCTGTACCCTCAAACTAGATTAACATAGGCCAGAGAGAAAGAAAATATACTCACAGAAGTCTTTAAACCCAAAATGATGAAAACATTTGCTGAAAAGATTATTAAATGAATATTTTAAAGTATTTTTATCAATGGGACTGACAACTATTTATTTTCCTTTGATCCTACACACACTCAGTGTTTTAAGCCTAAGATATCTCTCACAATTTCTTCTTTTTGCATTACTTTTCCATTTTCTCTGTCTCCTGCTCAATTTTAATAAATATTTCCTCAATATCAATTCCAATAAATATTCATTTGCTCAGTCTCAGTGGAGGCCAGTCACTGGCAGCAAGAATGTGGCATTGTATCCACTTTAGAGGGACTCACAATGTTAGACAGCCCTCCATAGGAGAATAGCATATGTGGACAGTGCTGTAACCAGCTCCTCTATGGACTCAGAGGGGACACCTTAATGTATTGGGTCTGCAGTCAGTAGCAAACAAGGTGCTCTGAGAGCTATGAAGGCAATTTGGGGCTTGCCTCAGCCAACAATATTTTATATTCTTTTCTCATGTCAGTGGTGTATTTTTTTCTTCTCCAAGCCAAAACAATAATAGTAATAATAACCTGCCTGATTTATGTACTTCATATGTTTTAAAACAAGCGAACACATAAAGATTGTAAGGTTTGTAAATATGGGCCAGAGAGCTGAAAAGTCTTTTCCATCAGCCTTCTTTGTAGCTGTTTTCCCATCCAGACTCTGGAAAGCTGTAAAGAATTGGTCTAGAGAATTTCAATGGCTCCATGTGAAATGGTCTGGTGGGTTTTTATAGGCCCAATTAAGTAAGCAAGATATGCTAGCTGTGAAGTGTTAACATTTGCCAAAAGAAAACATGATACCTGCTATCTGCTGGTATTTTTTATTTTCTCTAAAACTTGTTAAGACTGTCACCATCCTCTGGCAAACAGGCTGCCTTTTTTATTAGCAGATAAAGATTATCTGCTTATTTAATAGCAGCAGGAATATCCTGTAAGTAATTCTGGAAATGGGGTGGCTCTCAAGTTTTCTAAAACTGTCCCTACCTTTATTGTTGCCTCCTTCACGAGCTGCATAATGTGTGTTATTATTACTCTCTCTCCCTTTTGAAACTCTTGGCTAAATAAAAATGCTTACTTATGAAAGAGTTTGTAGACTAAATGGGAAGAGAGAACAAGCATGTGTGCATATCTGTGGAAATGGTAGGTGACATCAGTTAACTGTGATCTGGCATGTTAGGTTCCACTGTCCTAAAAACCTGGATATCACATCCTTCCAATAAAGCAGTTGAGTCAGGTACAGTATGGTCGCAAACAAAAGAGGTAGCTGGGTTAACACAAAAAACCAAACAACAACAACAAAAATCACTTGAAAAGGTTTTCTCATCCTGTTGGGCTGGTGGCCTAGGAGCCAAGCTGAAGCAAGGAATGTGCTCGGCATCCGACCTGCAAAGTGAAAGATAAGCATTTATACTCAGAAGGGAGGGGGAACACGATGCTGAGGTCATGCTAACTGTCTTAAGACAGAGATTGAAGGCAAATAAACCATAGGCAAGTGTCCTGTCTAGTCTTCTGTCACCTTGACACAAGCTAGAGTCATTTGCCAAGAGGGAACCTCAGCTGAGGGCATTTGCTTACCAGACTG